AAAATGATGTAATGCATAACAAAACAATATATGAATATTTAACAAATTTAATCAACTTTGATAAATGAAAATAAAATAAATTATATAACAAAAACATAACATTCTATTATTTTAGAATATTCAGGTACCCGCATCTGTTGTTTTAGTTTTAAAGCGGTGAGCAATGGGCGGCCATATTGCCCTATAATGGAATCCTATTGACCCTCTATAGAAAATTAGAGGGTCACCACTTGACAGCTCTAAACCAATGGTTTTTGGACATTTTTGTCCGAGGTGCGATAAGTATAATATATAAATAGTCATATTTCGCCTGGGTACATTTAAACGTTTTTTCAGATCTTATTATTCACTATAAGGAGCTTTTTCTCTAAGTGCATGCTGCATAGTGTGCCAGTATGTGAGTTTATGTTTCATTTATTCCCGCTGACATACTGTATACATATATGATTTCGATGGAAAAACATTTCGCGGATGTCCCCATCAAATTTTGTTCCCGGGGATTAAATATCGCGTAACACTGTCCAGTAGAAATATTACTCTTAGAAGATTACTTTTGTATTTGCGTGATGGGCATGACCTCCTTACAGGTTTTACACCAAAATAAAATGAAATAAGATATTAAATTAATGTTTAATTTCTATTAAGTGGCAGTAAAAGTGTAAAGAGGTTTTTTCTTTCATCGCTGTTTATTTCATAGTATTGATATTCACTGGGTATTTAATTTCCTGTTATCTCTGGTGATCTCGAAAACAGCCAAATTAAATCACCCGCGAAAACTACCAATTATATACAGTAGAAAGCTTAAAATTAGCGAAAATTTCCCAAGCGTGAAAATGTTATTTTTCAAGTACAAGTACATGTAATACTTATATTGTATCTACTCTGAGTTGTACGTCTTATCATCATCATTTATATATATATATATTGACTATTATCAACAATAACTTACAACACATGTTGCAGACACTGTGTGATCCCATATTTCCTTGCTTGAATAACGAAAATATATATACAAATGTATACTGGAAGTAAAATGAAAGATAAATACCTTCCTTGTTATCCTACACTACTATTAAGACGTGCCATTTTTAAACATTCCTTCCTCCTTTATAAGACTTATAACCTCCTGTTTTACATGTAAAAGATACATGTAATATAAAACTAGACTATAGTATTTGGCTTCACACATTTTCAGTTTTACGAGCTAGCATTGAACGTGCTTTATACCCCACGATTATGCCTATTTTTCTACAAAATTATTTTCTTAAATAGAAGGATTTTACCGGATATGTATCTGTATTATAATTTTGGACATGCTATATCGACGTGATAAATATAAGAAACATGTACTAAATATCCGTTATAATACCAGCGCGACATACCTTTGTGCATGCCATATATCCGTTCTAATACCAGCGCGACATACCTTTGTGCATGCAATATATCCGTTCTGATACCAGCGCGACTTACCTTTGTGCATGCCATATATCCGTTCTAATACCAGCGCGACGTACCATTGTGCATGCCATATATCCGTTCGAATACCAGCGCAACGTTCCAATACCAGCGCGACGTACCTTTGCGCATGCCATATATCCGTTCTAATACCATAGCTACGTACCTTTGTGCATGCAATATATCCTTTCTGATACCAGCGCGACTTACCATTGTGCATGCCATATATCCGTTCTAATACCAGCGCAACGTACCAATACCAGCGCGACATACCTTTGTGCATGCCCTATATCCGTTCCTACCTGTTAGAATAGTCTAATCTGTTATGATTCATACTGCACCTAACCTGACTAAATCACAAATATGCAATTTCTTTATAAAATCGAATTTCTTGTCTTCCAGTGTAACCTGACTCGATGAAGCCACATATAAGACATTTTACTGTAATGGCTATATATAATGTAACATTTCATAAGTGTCTGTACATCTACGTGATTCGGAATAAAGGAAGACGCGTTGTCGAATCAAATGGTCTTCGTAAATAGCTCGTAGCGTTGCCCAGGATTAACGAGTCTTAAATCCGCAGGGGATTTCTTTTTTATGTTCATTTACACATATAATCCGTTTCCATCGAGCCGTAATCACTCGTATTGTCTTCAAGAAATAAGAAGTACGATCGAAAATGTTCTCTGAAATACATGTCAATATTTTACCCTTACGATGTATATACAGCGTGTATCTTCGACTGGCAAAGGACGACAGTACAGGAGAAACAGTGTTCACATTTTGCCTTTGAAGTAGGCTAATCATGCAAACACAGTGTTGGAAGTCAAACGTGATCAGAAAAAGACACGAGAGGAAAACTGAATGGACGCCATTACAAAAAGAAACATCCCCAAAACCCGAAAAAACAGGTATTAAAGAGACACCAATATACACAAAACGACACCGTAAACCCCGAAATATACAGGGACCGAATTGAAACTAACATAATTATATAGACAAGGTAAACCCCTAAACGGACATGAACCGAATGGGCACTGACATAAGAAAACGACACCGTAAACTCCGAAAGATACAGGGACCGAATGGACACTGACATAAGAAAAAGACACCTGAACCCCCGAAAGCTGCAGGGACCGAATTGACACTGACATAAAAAAGGACACCTAAAACCCCGAAAGCTGCAGGAACCGAATTGACACTGACATAAAAAAGGACACCGTAAACTCCGAACCATACAGGACCGAATGGAAACCAACACAAGAAAAGATACATTAAATCTTTATACAAACGGTATAATAAAATTGAAAACTAACAAAAAAACCAAGTAATCATTAATATGAGTTCCCCATTCGTCACATCAAGATTTGTATTTTAATAGAATCAATGCTATATCACATGTTACATGAAAATAGCATTTAAAAAACCCATTCACATTTACTTTTTTTTATTTTGATATTTGGATTGAGAGGTACGTTTTTTTTCGTTTTCAACTATGGGCTAATATTACACATTTTGTCATACATTTTAATTATAATTGAGTATACAAAAATTAGATTTAGATATTCATAATTGTGTCTAGGTTGAAGTTCCAAAATGGTTAAGGAATAGAATGAAAATCCTGATTCTGGTGAACATAAATGAGAACGCGTAGTTGCGTTGTATCAATGTTTGCATCATCAGATTTTACGTTACAGCAATATGTTACATACGTTTTACAATTGTAGCTGAAACGCTACCTTTTCATGACTTCGACCTGTAAAATAGCATCACGTGGTGTGGTATCGCTATATTCTGTCACGTCACACTTGAATTATGACATCACGTTTTACATAAAACTATCTTCGGATTGGAATTGTCTTAGTGTGTGCTATTACTATAAAATGCAAGGTAAATCAAATTCTATATATATTATAAAGCGGTTATAGAATACCTCTTCTTGGTAAATCTTGCAGATTTTATTTATTCCAATAAATCCTGACGCGTTAGTTAGATATCATCTCCTTCAAAGCATATATCATATCATCCTTTTTGCAATCGTAATTTTGAAAGTGTTTTGTAATTCCCGACAGAATGAAAGGAGACAACGGACTACTTTAACGCATCATCAATTTTGTGCATATGTTAATAGTGACATTCCTGACAGTATCTCTACCTTCATGTCCATATAGATTTCGAAAAGGAAAGAATTGGCCATCTGATTCCTGTCCCAGCGGCTAATGTGCACAATCAAAGCTGTCAGCTGTGCCATCTGCGTAGGGGACACAAAACTACAATATTGGCTAGTTGGTTATTCAAATCGCACGAAGAGCCTTTAGATGGGCGAAATCAATGGCGAAATTTAGTCTTCAGTATTTTGTGATATACATATATTTACCGTCGCATGTACGTCTAAAATTAGCTTTGTCTTTTCATTTTCTACCTGTTTTACAGCAATCAGTAATATCATGTTTGCCTATATGACTACATTGATTGGTGGACCGGTAAAACCTGAACAAATACTTTCTAGTTTGATACAAATGTATTTCTCCCACACAGCATTTAAACATCGTGTTTGTTTGAACAAGTTACGATGTATATGGTATGTCATAGAACGGTATTCTTATTCTACACCGGTTTGAAATAGTTCATTTACCCAGTAGATCAATACAGTGAATATGTGTCCGATAAAAAGGGCTTTATATATACAAAAAAAAAGTCATACAAGGGCCGGCAATGTTTGCTCTGATACAGCCACTGTACAAGTTGTATGTATTAGATCGTGTTAACAGATTGGCAAGCCGTGGACATCATATACGTATTTACAAATAATACACCTGTTATCTATTTTTTTCTCTCCATTTTTACCAAAAGAAGCCATAAAAATAAGTCTATGTCCTTCCGAAACGTAGGTAGAATGAACACCGCGCACAATGATAAGAAGCCGTATATGTTGACAGTTCAGTAACGCATCTCACATAAGTCGAAATAAGATCGGGGTTTTAGAATTCTAGATGTAATAGAAAAAATGAGCCTTTTGAAAGCTTAGATAATACCTTAAACACACTATACAAACGATGATGTTTTCCACAGAAATAAACAAAATGCATAATTTTCTACATGAAATACTGTAAAGTGTATGTAACTAGACGCCCGACTTACGTTACCTTGATACGGCTGTGCTAATCCGCGACAAAAGTAATACCTATCAGCTGTCTATTGTAATCACATATTCACACTCTAGGTTTAACTACAATTCTACCGACAACAAATCTGCCGATAATTCTATCGAATGTCCAGGTATGCAGTACTCCAGGTAAAAACATACCGTATCGGACTTCGTGGTTATTCATAGATAACAAACTGATTCTATAAGTTCACTAGGTAAAACGATATCAAAAGCAAAAACAGATATCTGTCAAACCGCAGCGTACATGTTTCATAAAATCTAGTCTAAAAAGCCAAGCGTGTTATACCTTTACGATGTTCACGACACAAACTTGTATCCTCTGAATACTAACCGAACACCTAGAAAAGCTATGAGATAAGCTAAATCAACTTACCGTTGTAAGGTATTTCTAGGAAAATTAAAACGTAGGTTTCCTAGAGACACGTTCCTTTGCTTGTTCAGCGTTGATAAGGTAAGTTTCCGACTGATCAGGAACGCGTGTAGTCCTCGTATATACTCACTAGGCCACGGACTCTCACACAAGTACTCTTGCTATTCTGCTTCCTTAATATATATTGAGTTCCGGATTTGCCTGTTCCGGTGATCCGCGTTGGTGTTTAGCTTTAAATCAAAATCGACAAGTTTTTTTCTTCTATTAAGTAGTTTTTTTTTCTAATGGAGTATCATAGTAAAATCATCCAAGTCGATCAATAGCGTCACAAGTTTCGACCCATGCTGAAGTCAGATACTTTCATGTAACTAATTTATAGAGATAGAATGGACTGGAATGCGTTTACCATTGTTTTATTCTCCCACGGAAAAATGACGTCACGATTTGTGCGAGACTGTTGTCCTATACACAGTGTGCGCAGCTTCGACCATCCATGAGGTTCATGAGTTGACTGGAGGTTTATAGGGTTGTGTGCATATTTCAGAATACTGTAGTGATTATTGATAGATCGAACGAAACGCAATCGTTTGACGAGGCTGACTCCTACCTGACTCTTTACTAATGATGAGATAACAAACGGCCCTAACCTACATAGTGCTGAGAAGTGACGCTAGGAATGGTATAAAATCAATGTATCGATTTGTCGTGTCGAACACAATTTTAGTTCAAACAAATTTCGATACAAATTGGTGAAAATTAGACACTCTCCCTATTTTACAGTTAATTTTACTCCGTTTGTATCCGCACCGTTCATTCCCCACTGTTGATTTAGCGTGTTAACATGAGGACAAGCAAACTTCAGCTAATCTCGTGCAGCTTACCATTGACCGGGACTCGGGGCTTTAACTATAGGTAATCCGATATCGCTCATGTTGCAGCACAAATCGGGCATTTAAAAAACATTTTAAAAAAGAACTGAAAGGGAAAAGGAATGGTGAAAACCTGTAACAAGTCAGAAGGGGATCACTTTTACGCACTCAGAATCAAATACTCGCTGTAAATTGCTTGTCGTATTGAATCATTGTCACTGATCATAGCGATTTAAAAGGTACGGCGTGGTATTGTAGGGAAACACATCAGGGCCAACCTTACACACTAACCCGAGCAAATCTCAGCACGACAGACTAGGCCAACCTCAACAAACTAATCTCACACAGGTGCACGTGCAAAGTAAAGCATCACATAATAGCACGTGCAAACCTTACAACGAGAGAAAAGGCAAAACCTAACATACTAGCACGTGCAAACCTAACCACGACGGACAAGGCCAACCTTACATAGCAGCACGCGCAAACCTTACCACGGCGGGATGCAAAACCTCACATACTATCACGTTTCAATTATACCCCAAAGGGCAAAGGAAAACCTCAAATACTAGCACGTGCAAACCTTACCACGACGGACAAGGTCAACCTTACATACAAGAACGTGCACACATTAGCACAACGGTCAAGGTCAACTTTACATACTAGCACGAGCAAATCTTACCACAACGGACAAAGCCAACCTCACATACTAGCACGTGCAAACCCTAGCACAGCGGACAAGGTCAACCTTACATACTATCACGTGCAAATCTTAGCAAGACAGGCAATGCAGACCCCAAACACTAATACGAGCGTACCTCACCAATACGGACAATGTTAGCCTTACATACAAAAACGAATAAACCTTACAACGACGGGGTAGGAAAAACTTCCATGCTAGCACATGCAAACCATAATACACTGGGCAAAGCTTCCAGCGACATACCCGCATTCCTTTTAAGAAATAAGGTTTTTACTGTGTTTCAGATAGCATTGTATATATTGAGACTAAATTAGATAAGTGATCTTGATTTCTAGATTCCTGGAAAAAATAACTGAATGAACATGTTTGATCTAGATATTTCGTGTGTAAATCGAGCAAAGCGGCCGCCCAGAAAATCGGTATTCAGGTGCCCAGTAAACGCCTGCTTCGGCAGTCGGCCTCTAGATTTCCAAATAAAGAAAGCCCTCCCTAACAATCGGACTTCGAGTGCCCAGTAAAACCTCAGTCACATTTTGCTAATTTCCGAAAAAAGCGCCCGGGCGATGAGTTTTTATGCCAAAATCGGCAGGCAAGCCGGGGAACCGTAAGGACGTCGGCCGATTTTTAGACGCCGCACGGGTCGCCAAGAACTTTTAGCGCGGAGATGAAGGTTGCATTATTGAGACTAATTTAGATAAGTGTTCTAAATAAGAAGCGACGTTTACTGGGGCATCTGAATGCCGATTTTCTGGGCGTGCGCTTTACTCGATTTACACACGAAATATCTAGATCAAACATGTTCATTTAGTTATTATTTTGCAGCAGTCTCGTTTTTACAGCGCGTTTCTATCTTATACGTCCTTATATATATTCTATCGGTAGACTTTTTTCATCACTATACAATTAATGACGTTTAGAAATCAAGATCACCACAATTTTTGTCTGACCTAAACTCATCAGAACCTACCCGGCAGTATCCCGTAGGTGTCCCGCAAGGATTCCGTAAGATTTTCTCCCACCCTTCATAGGTGTGTTTCCCGTTTCCACATGAAAAAGATCCGCTTGTCAACCCCTTGTCGGTGGAGTTGTGACTGAAATAATAAGACGGGAGAAAAATAATCGTCCCCTACCTTAAGGGTATAACAGAGAAATCTCCACCCTCGGTTGATTTTTTTGGCAGAGACTCCGGTTAGATCACCAAAAAACATTACCCCTCGGGGTAGGGGAAGATTATGCTAATCTTACGGCTCCCGGTGGCATCGTACGGTCATCTTTGGATTTTGTACAATTTTACGTAGACAGCCCGATATCCGGACGGGTGCCGTACGGCAATCGAATGTAGCCGCCCAGTGTCCTCAAACTGTGCGGTGTCGGTGGGATATTCAGCCGGGTATCGACCGACGCTTCCGGCGCCCGGACGGCACATATACGAGCTTCTGCAGGCGCCATTTTCTCACGGACGAGCTAGGTATAAAACCCGACGATTCGGAATTGTTTCAGAATCTGGAAATCCTGGACACGTTTTGGTGTTGACTTGTATGATTCCTATATATGCACGCAATATGAAATGCGAAACATATCCCACCCGTCACACGAACATCTTCCGGCTACCGTACGACAGCCCGGCTATCGTCAGATAGCCTTGCAGTATCCTTGCGATAGTCTTACGGGCTTCCCATGGTATCCTTCAGATGTCCGTCGATTTAATCGAGCAAATTGTTTGCGGGAGCCGTACGGTGCCCGTATCTAATTATGTGACTCAAAGCAAATTTCAGACATCGGAATAAAGTCCCTGGCGCCCGGGACGCCGGCCGATTCCTATTTCCCGGGCGGCGGCCGGCGCAAATGTGACTGAAGCATAAGTGTCCGCCTTACCAGACGGCCTTTAGGTTTCCAGGTTTTACGTGCCTGTTAAGCGCAAATTAAGCATGCCTGATGTGGACGTGGAAAACCTACAACGGTGGATAAGTTTACGTTTTCAATGTTTGGGGTGGGGTGACTTTTGGGCTATGTTTCTGATGCCTGAGAAGAATAGTGGGGGATATATATCTGGTGCTTTGAGTAGGGGAGCTAGGGATGAGGTCTATGTTTCTGGAGCTTGGAGTACGGTGGCAGGGGATTTATGTATGTATCTGGTGCTTTGAGTACGGTGGCGGGGGATCTGTTCATGGATCTGGTGATTGGCGTACGTTTATTTATTTGATGCGTGGAGTACGATAGCGATGGCTTTATGTATCTGGTGCTTTGAGTACGTTAGCGGAGAATTGATGTATCTTGTGCTTGGAGTATGGTAGCAGGGGAGTTATGTATCTGGTGATTCAGAACTATACCGGGGTATGAAGTCTGTGTTTCTGCAGTTTGGAGTAGGGAAGCAATATTTGAAATTTATGTTTTTGGAGTATGGAGTAGGGCAGCGAGGGATGAAGTCTACGTTTCTGGTGTCTTCTCCGGAGGCACGGTAGTCTAGTGGTAGGACGCCGGGCTGGTGACCGAAGGGTTGCTGGTTCGAGTCACGGCACGGCACGGCACGGCACGGCACTGTGTTTTATCTTTGAGCAAGATACTTTACTCCGCTTGTTCCAGTCTACTCAGCTGTAAATGAGTACGTGGTTGAGCAGTGCTGGAATTATTGAATGATAAGCTGTGAGAGCCGGGCCATTTTGTATAGATTACTTACACGTTATATCTGGTTAAAGACCAGATATAATTAGTAATTTAAATGATGGACACAAACAGAAATTTTAGAATACGTCAAAAGAAGTATTCCGGAGAGTTAAGTGAAATTACTGTCGTCCCAGTGTATCAACCCATAATATTATTTTGTGTCTCAAACATCTTTGGGACTGTGAACTGGTGCTATTTTTAAACTATAAGTGCTCCAGCAATACCATTATCTTGGATTCAAAGTAAAATGCGGAAAATTGAATCGACGATTGTTCTAATGGTTTTTAAAACTAATTTGGAACAGAAACGAAAACGCTGAATTTTATAGAAAGATGAGTCTTACTAACATGATATTATTGCAAATTGTGTGACGTTTACATCCATGTGTCGTCTTTGGAGAGCATACCAGGTAATTTAACTCCCTTTGTAACATCTACAATCTGGTATATCGGTTATTGGGCCATTAAGCCTAACTATGTGTGCTAAAAGTGACCGTTTCTCATCCGACAATCAGTCCTCACCAATTTAGGTAATTGGGTATTGTCCACAATTTCAGCGAAAGTAAGGTAATTACTAGATACAGCAATTGACCCTATTGAGTAATAACCGTATACTAAACGTAGAGGCTTCAATTCATCACATGCAAACGGCGCTAGGTAGTAGTTTAGAATGAGTTAGTTGGTTTAAAATTCGGGTAGTCATGTGTTTGTATATTAATCTTACTTTGTCAAATAAATACTGAGCTAAGGTACAGGACATAAGACAAATATTAAAGATTAGTTATCATTACATATCGAGCGAATCGTATTATAGTTACACAGTTTATGTGTCGGGCTTTGCAATCAGCAGTATGCATTTCAAATAGTTATAATACAGGATGCTGTATAACGCTTGTAGCCAAATTCCTTTTTAGCTAGAACTCTTCGGTTGTGTTCCCCTGATCAAATCGACGAATCTTAAGCAATGTATCGGCTCCGAACAACATTATGGTGTTATTGAACGCTGTGGTGAGGTGACGTCATTCTGTCGAAGACAAATTAACATTACAACGACATAAATAGTGGATCATATCATGTATGTAGAACAATTGTTTGTAAGAAATATTAGCAGTGCGGCGAATTCGTTTTCATCTAGCGTTTCAGATTGTACTAGTGTATTGTGTGAATTGACTTAAACCCTTCTGAAAAATATCCATACGAACAACGCGTTTTTTTCGATTTTCGTCAGCTTTACCCATATATGGATTGAATTGCCTTTTTACGCACTAGCTTGAATACACGTTACCATAATTATATATAATGTATTACATGCGTATCAATAGTCCTTTTGAAGGCACAGTTCTATAAGACATAAATAGCGTCACAGAAATATTTCG